ATGTAGTACAGTATAAAGTACAATATGTACCTCTGAGATGTAGTACAGTATAAAGTACTATATGTACCTCTGAGATGTAGTACAGTAGAAAGTACTATATGTACCTCTGAGATGTAGTACAGTAGAAAGTACTATATGTACCTCTGAGGTGTAGTACAGTATAAAGTACTATATGTACCTCTGAGCTGTAGTACAGTATAAAGTACACTGTGTACCTCTGAGCTGTAGTAACAGTACTGTTACTATAACAGTACTCGTGGGTTAGCTGTCACTTCATTATTCAGTGTATTCAGGATGCTAACTGTTAGCATCATACTTAACGTTACACAGCAACTCTCATTAGCCTGTTGGCCAACAGCACCGCGGGCTAACATTAGCATCAGGCTAAAGAGCAGCAGAATGACACAACGTAAAACATCACACTAACGAAGCTAACGTTAGCTCCGCTGCTAACATCTACAAACAGCAGGTTTGATGTTGTTATTCAGCTAACACAGCAGACTGGGCGTTAGCTGCTAGCCGCTTTCATTGACAATGAATTGGACGTTAGCCACTAGCTAAAGAGTTACCCGCTTTTCTGACCGATTTAAACCGGATTTCCGGGATGTTTTAGAAACGAACAGTCACGAGGCGGATCAGAGAATCGTTCAATCATAACATGTAATAAAAACTCAGGTGTTCACGTACCTGTACCCAGAATGACGACGTCAAATTCAGACGGCAGCTCCTCGGCGGCCATGTTGAAAGCAGGGAAACAGAGAGTCACGTGAGAGGGAGAGCGACACGATCACTGATCAACCAATCATCAACAAGCTGGTTATATCGATGAATATAAACATATATTATTGTTATTATGTGTGTAATATACTTCCGACAAACTTTTTATTCATTTTGTATCTTTGTTCTAAATTATTAATTTATTAATTTAATATTAAAGTTGTTATAACGAATGATAATAACAACAATTTTAATAATAATATTTATGATGATAACAATGACAATAATTACAACAATAATGATGATGATGATGATGATGATGATGATGATGATGATGATGATGATAAAGAGTGAGTCACTATTAGACATCAGATTGTGATGATCACTGAGACACAGCTTATTCTTCTCTGGTGCTTTCTGTCACTTCCAAGTCCAACACACACACACACACACACTCTCTCTCACACACACAGACTGAGTGATATGAAGCCAACAACAGTCGGTTTCACCTTTATTCATCTTCGAAAAAACAGATGGTTAAAATTCATTCATGTTCTCCTCATCTCCTCTCCTTGTCTTCTCACCTTATCTCCTCCTCCTGTCTATATATTTATGTTACAAAACATTATATTATTGCTAATTTACTAATTTACTAGTTTATGGTTCTTAGCAGACTAAGTGTACAAATAATGTGTGTGGTTTTGTGTGTGTTTGTGTGCGCGTATGTTTGTGTGTGTTTTTGTGTGTGTGTGCGTGTGTTTGTGTGTGTGTGCGTGTGTTGTGTGTGTGTGTGTGTTGTGTGTGTTTTTGTGTGCGTGTGTGTGTGTGTGTGTGTTTGTGTGTGTGTGCTTGTGTGTGTGTGCGTGTGTTTGTGTGTGTTTTTGTGTGTGTGTGCGTGTTTTTTGTGTGCGTGTGTGTGTGTGTGTGCATGTGTTTGTGTGTGCTTTTGTGTGTGTGTGTGCGTGTGTTTGTGTGTGTGTTTGTGTGTGCGTGTGTGTGTGCGCGTGTGTTTGTGTGTGTGTGTGTTAAATCTTTCTGGCGTCTCTTCAGTGACAAAGTCTCTTTTGTAGCTCGTTAGCGTTGAGGTGTTAACGAGCGCTGTGTGCTGATTGGACGACTCTGATCAGCTGCCAAAACGTTCGCTGCTCGTTTCCTGTCGACAGAAAAAAGAGAAAACAACCTCGAAGAAGAAGATCCTGAAGTTTAGTGAAGAATGAGAAGCTTTTCTCTATTTGTTAAAAAACGTTCTTTAAATTTAAGAGCATTCAGGTGTTTTATATCAATGGTTACTATAGACGTGATGCATTCAGGTGTTTTATATTAATGGTTACTATAGACGTGATGCATTCAGGTGTTTTATATCAATGGTTAATATAGACGTGATGCATTCAGGTGTTTTAATATAGACGTGATGCATTCAGGTGAATCTGCTCTGTAAAGGTTATTTTGATTATTTGAATTTGAAACTGATTAAAAAAGATGAATTTGTTTTCTGATCTCACCTGATGAAGCTGAAGTGTCAGTTGATGCTGCAATTATTTTGGCCCGAAACATCCCAGTAAACTGTATCATTATAATAATGATAATGATAATGATAATAATTATTATTCACTTCTCTGAAGTACTTAATTTAAGGAGTACTCTATAGTATTCCCTCGTCTGTGAATTTATTTTATTCACTTGTTTTCTTTTATTTAGCTTTATTCCAAAATCAGCTGTCAATCACTCGCCTGTCAAATTCCCGTTCCAGAGGCCCCGCCCTCAGGTGCGCCCTTTTAGCCAATGGGAGGCCTGTCCGTGTGCTGTCCCAGCGTGTGATTGGCTGACGTGAGACAGAGCGCACGAAGAGAGAGAGAGAGAGAGAGAGAGAGAGAGGAGTCAGTCAGAGTGGCGGGAACAGGCGGAGACAGACTTCGGATGATAAGGCAAGAAGAAGAAGAAAGAACTTCACTCTTCTTCTTCTCTGTTTCCTGCTCCGAGATGGCGGGGTCGTCCACCGACCCCACCGACCCTCTCTTCCACTCCGACCTGCCCTACAGCGCTCCTAACCCTGCCAGCTCCGCGCACCTGTCCGGAGCTTACCTGAGCGGCAGAGTCCTGGTCAATGTGAACGGGACGAGCGGCAACGCGAGCGGCGCCGTCACCGCTCCGCCGACTCACACCTCGTGTAAGATGGTGGAAGTTCACGGTGTGCAGGTGGCGTCGTTCTCGGTGGACGGAGCGGAGCTGATCTGCCTCCCGCAGGTGTTTGAGCTGTTCCTGAAGCACCTGGTCGGAGGTCTGCACACCGTGTACACCAAGCTGAAGCGGCTGCACGTGAGTCCGGTGGTCTGCAGCGTGGAGCAGGTCCGCGTGCTGCGGGGGCTCGGAGCCATTCAACCGGGAGTCAACCGTTGTAAGCTCATCACACGGGCCGACTTCGAGACGCTGTACCGGGACTGTACCAACGCCAGGTGAGCCGGGGCACCGGAGGAGTCTGGTTCAGTTTAAATCTGTTTATTAGAATTAATAAAACTCATGAAATTAATTCACCTGTTAGACACTAATCAAGAACATTAATTATCATTGTTTCAGAATAAATGAAGAATATATTTCCTTCATTAATAAAATGTATGAATATTATTTATTGAAACAGTGTAATCAGTCCGCTAATAGAGAACCAGAGTTTTTAATTCTGTATATTTTATGATTATTGTTTAGCTTCAAAACTATCCAACGAAACGATTCATCGATCAAGAGAAAATACAATTTTCTCCATCAGATTAAAACAGACTTTTATGATATATTAATTTGTTTCAGCAGCAAAAACACAGAAAGATCTGTAAAATAATAACTTAATAAATAAATAAACAGTCTTTACATAATAATACATTTATATAATATAACATAACAAACCTTTACAGGGAAATAAAGGATCATAGTATCATGTGTATAGAAATTATATAAATAACATATAGTAATAGCTGAATAATAAAATAAATGATGACTTCTACTAACAGCAACAGTAGATATAATATAATAAATAGAAATGTGTCATGAAACAGTTGTATTGTTTCCACTGTACACAATATGTAACTAGTATAATATAAGTTAATAGGTATACTGTGTACATGAGTGTAAATATAGTGTACTATATAGTTATAAGATAATTAATTCATCATTTAAAAATGAGCTCATCGATGGAATTATTTCCACCACTGATTTATCTACTGATTATTTTCTCAATAAATCTAAAAATGTTTTTATTCATTTTCCTTCTCCGAGATGGCGGGGTCCTACTGCACTGGTATAATGTAACTAGTACACTGTACCAGTTTACTGCA